ATAGAGCATAATTTTGAAGTTAATACCAAAACGCACGAAAACAAAAATTGAATTAGTTCTAACTAGGATGTCAAGATGCCAATAAGAAGGTGAAAATTTAGCTTTGTATACTTTTTATATTTTTCTATTACCAAAACTATTTTATATCTTGCTTTATCACATCTTGGCGAATATTGCTTTTAAGTTAATGTTGCCTTATGATTTATTTATCAGTATGATACCTTGAGATCATCCTGTTCCCATTAGGGGAGTTAGGATACTCTATTGGTATTCCCAAATTTTTTATATTGCCTGGCAGCAATTAACATTGCTGACAGGCAGCTGTAAATATTAGTTTTGGTTATTTAAATCTAGAATTAAAATGTTCATATATATACTTTTTAGAATCTTCCTATGATGATCTCTTCTATTAATAAATGTCAAAACTAAAATCCTGGTTTCAAAACATAATATTCATCAAAACGCCTACTTTTGCAAAACATCTGACTATAAATCGTCTGAAATCCTTATTAAAAACATCCACATTGCATTGCGTTTTGTTACATCAGCTTTTTGTCACATCTGATGATTTTTTACCTTTTCTTTTATAATAATTCAATATTCTTTGTTTTTTAATTAGATTTAGCTTTACAAATATTAAAGAGAACCAAATTTTACCCTTTTCAATTAATTAACAACCCCCCTATACCTCCTAATTTCGAGCAGTTCTAAATTTACATGAAGGATTATAGGTATTATAGGAATTGCTTTTTGATATATCTGTTTTAGAAGCTGGGAAGAAGGATCGCAAAAAAGAATGCTTTTATTGCAAGAAAATGATCACTCATATCTCGACTCACCTCGAACGTCGTCATACCAGTGAAGAGAAAGTGAAGGAGATTCTGAGTCTGGAAAACGAGGTGCAGAAGAGTAAGAAGTTAACAAAACTTGGGAATTTGGGAGATCATCTTCACAATATAAAGGTGAGTAAAAGATTACATCTTATTGCTTAAGGAGGTTGGAGGGGGGGTTATGTTTTAAAATGAATTCCACTATTTTTACATTTAAGAGCCATCTTTATTTTCTGAAGAATATACAAAAAAAAATGAAAGGTTTCGCAGCAAATAAGGGTTTGAGCTATAATGCACATCAAGGTAAGCTTGAAATATAAGCATTGAGAAACTAAGACTAAGGTTTTTTACTTTGGTAAATGTTCAATTGAAAATCCTCCCCCCCCCCCCCCCTTCCCAGTTCTCTTGTATATACTTTTACACGGGTCATAAAATGGAAATCATTTCTCATAGAACTACATTTTATCCTTCTTGTGGTACAGTACCTCACAAATGATATAATAAGATATGACGTTAACTTTTAAGTCTTTAACTTGTTGATAGTATGGAAGATTTGTCGTTTTTTGGTTTACAAGTGATTATTTATAATCCAATTCCTGAAACTACTATTGAAAATATAATTTTTTTTATTATTTAAACATGGATATTGAATTCATACTTGATCCTACAAAGGTTTTATGGGGCTCCTTGTGATTATTGTTTTACCATCTTTGCATAAATAGTCGCTTAAACTATGCTTATTTCCCCTTTAAATTCATTATTTTATCTTCAGGTTTTGCGAACCAAACAAGGAGAATTAAGAGTTCAGAGACAGAAAGGGGTAATCAACCCTGATGACTATGTTACCTGTCCTCTTTGTAATCGCTGGTTTATTCGCCATTTTTTAAGTAAACACGGTAAAAAATGTGCTTGCAAACTAGACCCCTCTCAAGATATCTCAATAAAACAAGCTATCCATATGAGATTTGAAAAATCTGAACTCTCTCCGACCAGTATCCTAGTGCTTAGCGGACTCACTGATGGTCCAATTTCGTCAGCAATTAAAGGCGACTCAACCTTAATTGATTTTGTCAATTGCAGAGCAGAGTTCATCCATGACACAAAAGATTCTAAGAAGATTCAAAGTCTACGTCACAATATGCGGCTTTTGGGAAGACTTCTGAATCAAGCTCAAGAAAGACGTCCTGGGACCTCTATGATGTCCCTTCTTTTGGAATGGGAGTTCGATGAACTTGTAGAGGTGGTCAATCTAATCCCAGTAAAAGAAGGATCAACTGGATCGACCCGTTTAAACCTAGGATATCAGCTTAAAGCAGTTCTTAAAAGATTGGAGGAAAATGCAGCTGATATGCCGGATTCCCAAAGTAAAACTGTGCTCGAAAAGAAACTTGGATATCTCAACACCAAAATGCAGTCGCAATGGTCGAGACAGGTATGGTTGTTCTTATGAATTTCTTTAAGGGAGTGTCTGGCTTGACATGGTAGTTGAGCTGAAAGTGCAGTATTGTAGAGAATTTTTTTAGAAATCATTTGAAACCTATATGATGTGTGTGTTGGTGTAATTTTAAAAGCGCAAAATCAATCTTTAAAATCCTTCTGCATACTGCACTCTCAGCTCAACTACAATGTCTAGACAAACACTCCCTTTAAAGCCAATTACAATTTTATTTCAATTTCTACTATTTTGAACTAAAGTCTTTATCCTTTTTAAAGATCTAAGTGTTAAATTTATTTTTAAGTAAATTAAATGTTGGAATTATTCAATTATTTTATATAAACATAACTTTTTATATTTCAGGTAACTCGCCTGTCCTGCATACTAGGAGTGAATTAGGCAGAAACAAGAAGAACAACCTTGTCAAATCTTCAGATGTGAAGAAGGTTTACCTATATACCTGCCGCAAGCTTACGGAAGCGAAAGAAGAATTAGCCTCAGACCAAAAGTCCGTTGTGAAGTACAGAGCTCTCATGAAATACATCTATGCGTGGATAGTGACATTCAACTTCAGGTAAAATCAATACTTCGATTTGCTAATTGCTTATTTTAATAGAAAATTTTATTTCAATGTCAGATCACAAAAAAGAAGATGTGACCATTTTCCAGAGCTTAAAATGGTTAATTTTCATGTGATTTCATAAATGAAAATAATTAAATTTTAAAGATGCTTTGCAGGCACTAATGTAACTTGGGTTTTGTCCTATTACTCTCACATTTTTGACACTCTCACTTTGAAATTTTTTAACTTTTTAAGGTCGGTCTGTCTTCAATTTCCAAAAGCCCAACTTTTTTTATTTGAGCTCTTGAAAACTAGATTAATGTACGTTAGTCGCATCTAGTCATTTAACAAAAAATAAATTTCAATAAGTTGGTCTGGATATTCGGAATTCAACCCTATACCTTTAACGCTAAGGACATTTTCTAACCCCCCCGTGCAAATGAAAAATGAGCANGCCAGGATTGAGGACTACAGAAAAGGTAACTTATATTTCTAATATCCCTTAGACTTTATGAAAATGACTTGGGGCAGGAGGGAGTAGATTTTACTTTTTTTCCGTCTCTTAATCTTCAAATTTTCTCATAGGTTTACTATATTATTATGTGCTGCTTATATTGGGATTTAAAATTCAGTGGCGCAACTAGCACTTTTGTGAGGGGGTACATGGGGGCTAGCCCCCCTGGCTAAAAATGTTTAAAAAACTGCTGTTTTTTGAATTTTAAATAAAAAGCAGCATTTTTTAATAATTGAAGGGTTTGGCTCTGTGCTCAAAAAAAAACCAAATCCTTATAATAACAATGGCTTGTTCTTGTGTTTAAAAAAGAAACATGTGCGTGAAGCGCCAACAAATTTTTTATTCTTCAAGCGTCTTTTTTATGTATTGCTTTGTGTCTGTTAGTCTCTGGCAAAGTCATATTCACTATGTATATAAAGTCCCCTATTACAGTCTACAGCATTTTTTTGCAATTCATCCACTATTCATATTTGATTTGATAGTCCCCTTATTTGTAGGTCTGTGTAGTCCTAAGTTGTAAGTAGTTGATGGCAGTAGTTGAAATATTTTGTCAATCCATAATTCATAATAGTCTTTTTAATCGAAGTCCCTCTGTCCTTGTTTGCCAGTAAGGGGCTTATCCCTTTTTTCCTCTTTTAGTCTCCAAAAGTCCTAATAGTCAGATATAATTTTTATTAAATTTCTTGTTATTCTTCTTAGGTTGTCAGGTTTTGTGTTTAACCTAGTAATTGTATATAAATATTGTAATACTCATGAGAAGTAACATATACAGGGTTTTTAAGAGGATAAATTAAGAATGACTGACTTTCTTTATATTAAAAATGAGAAAATGCTTAGAAATTCTTTTAGAAATTTTGCGCGAAGCGCCAAAGAAAAATTTTGGTATTTTTTTCTTAATCAACACAATTTGATAAAAGATGGTCCACAATCCTGATCATGCTGGAGTGAAGTGATGGGGGGGGGCGAAACTCTGTTAGCCCCCCCCCCCTAGTTGCGCTACTGATTTAAATATGAGATACAGCAATCAGCATATATATATATATATAAATAGTAAACATGGATATGGATTTTTAAAATCCATGGAAAATTGTTATTTGTCGTTTTAGAATGGATTTTGGTATTAATCTTTAATAGCTACCTATTACTTAATATTTTTCATTTTGGAAAACGCTCAAGTATTAAATATTATTTAGGTTTGTTGTCTAATGTGGAACTAGACGACACCATTTATGAATTTCTTACTGAAGAAGAAAAACAAAGAGCCCACTCTTACAAGATGATCCATGTGAAAGGTACGCACTGTTAACTGATTTTGTAATGAGTTACTGCTATAACTGCAATTTACCTTTGAACACAATATATAAAGGGGATATTTTTAGTAAAATGAAGGAAAAAATACTATAAATCCCATTTATTCCTGTTTTTTTTCTGGTTTTCATCTGACTCAATACTTGTTCACTATGGGATTGCTGTTATCCTAGCTGTAGTGTTTGGCCTTAACAGGACTGACGTGTAATTTCAAATAACCTTCTATTTTGAAAGAGGAATGCCCGATTCACAATGGTACCCTGTTCAATCATTTGGAAAATATCATTTTTTTCTAACGGAAATAGCGTATGATAATGAAAATTGTGCAATTCACTTCAAAGAAATCATGATCGAAAATGATTAATTTTCAAAAAGAAGATTTAAGATATCTCAAGAATTCT